AACAAACTTTAATTAATTTCAACAAATGACAAACAACTGATAAATAAATGAAACTTTTGATTTGCATAATAATTTGATGATATAAATTAAACTTTTAACTTATTTTAATTACTAATAATGAAATGATAAACGAGCAAAATATTTTAATTCATTTTCATTTTGTTGTAAATGAAAACTTATTGATAACATAACATATCAATAATAATAACATGATATTAGCAATGATGTATTTAAACAAATAATCTATGAAATTTTTTGATCTTACAGTAGGTTTTAACAGCTTTAATTAGTTTTAAGTTTTGATACAGTAAGTTTTGATCTTTTTGTTCTTACAGTATCTTACTTTTAGTTATTTTGAATAAAAATTCTAGGGGAAAAAAAAAGAAATACGATTTGTTCAATGCTATGTTTTTATCATTGATATTTGGTAATATTTCAATTTTAATCATTGATATGATTAATTTTGTCCAAGTTGATTGGCGAATAGTCTAATTTTAATCACTGATATGATTAATTTTGTCCAAGTTGATTAGCATCCAAATCAGGATCAACTTCTTTCCATGATAATGATGGCGCAAAACAAAGACCCTGAGAGCATGCTGGAGCATTTGATGGACAATCACTACATCGTGGCTTATCACCAGCCCATGTAAATGCTGGAATCTAAAATTTTAACAACGATAATTCATAAAATTTATTATCAATTCTTTTATTTTTAATTTTATAAAAAAATTAAAATTTTTAAGATTTGAAATATATCAATTGATATTTTGCTAAATTTCAATCAAATTTTATTATCATGCTATGATATTATTGTTAAAATCAAGAAATTTTTCTAGACAAAGAAAAAAAAAGGAAAATAAAAGAGATAAAAATTGAAAACATACTGCAAAGAAACCATTCCTAGTAACATAAACCGTATTTCCTTGTGGATTATAATGACAAACAAAAATATGTCGATGACCATGATTTTGTGTACCCCAAATATTACGACATTTTGCATATCCACAACCAACCAAATTTGTTTCAGCCCAAACTACCTTAAATCATTTTAAATGATTAAATTTACCATATCGTAACTGATATTGTTATCACAAATATGATCAATTAAATTAAATTGCTATATTAAGATTGATAATGTTAGCATCAATTAAATGATAAATAATAAAATAACCTTTATGAACTTATCGAATTAATTATGACATAATTAATTACTATTTCATAATTTTAGAAACTATATGATTTAGAAACTATATGAATTGTAACATTTATTGTATAATCGTAATTATATGATCATGATAGTATTATTGTTTATGATTAAAACGATGCAATTATAGCCATGCTATCATTATCATTAATCATGATATCATGATAAAATAATTAGAATTATCTAACATATATATTGCCAACATTATTATTATAATATCGTGGTGATATGATTAAAATGTTATAATAGTATCATAATATCATTATTAGTGATAATGGGAATGATAACAACGATAATATTAATAAGAAATATAAATAAATACCTGGACATAATGTCCACAACAATGTTTGTAAGCATGTTTACAATCACATCGTGAATCGTATACTTCATTAAACCATCGTGATACTGCTTCCGTATAATTGGAATACGGTGCTGCCCAAATATTTTCGCCAACATTTATTCGATCGGTACTATGTCTATAATTAAATTTAAATTAGAGGCTAATATATTTTTTTCAATTTTTAAAACAATTTTTTGATTCTAATATAATTTCCTTTCTTTACTTTTTCTTTTTTTAATGTAAAAGAAATCAAATATGAATAATTGTTAGGTATATCTTTTTTTTTTAATTACAAAAATATCCATAATTATTTAAAAACTTTCTTGTATTTATCAATAAAATTCAAATATTTCATTTTTACTTTTAATTATTTCAGATATTCAATAAATTTTATCAGCAGTTCATATTTGTCAGTGTCAATAATTAATTGGTCAATTTATTAAGCAATAAAATAAATGTTATATAAATGATCTTATTTCAAAGCTTCTTTATACCCATATAATTACTTTTATTTTGTTAATTAATTAGCTGTCAATTTTAATCTGTAAAATTTCATATAATAAATTATCAAATGATCATTTTTACGTGCAATAATCATTGTAATCTTTCGTCAATCATTATAAATAATCAATCATGCATGATTTTTACCATACCGAAAATCGCATCTATTGGCATGTCGTTGAGCGCTCATCGCCAATTCGTCTGACCAATGCATCAATAACATATCGGTTGCTGGTATCTGAATTATTTTTTATTTTTCATTGTCAAACTTCCATTTAACTATTAAATCTTTTTTTTTTTCAAAATATAGCACATATTTACATAAGAATATCGCTTACTTTATTTTATGTTAAGTATGATTTACAGAATGTATCATATCTGTTCATCATTGATCATTGAACTTTGTTACGTGACTTTTACAACATTTATATTATAATCATATCATTGATTATTGAACTTTGTTACGTGACTTTTACAACATTTATATTATAATCATATCATTGATTATTGAACTTTGTTACATGACTTTTACAACATTTATATTATAATCATATCATTGATTATTGAACTTTGTTGCGTGACTTTTACAACATTTATATTATAATCATATCATTGATTATTGAACGTTGTTACGTCATAAATGTTG